AAGAAAGAAAGAAAGAAAGAAAGAAAGAAAGAAAGAAAGAAAGAAAGAAATGAAATGAAATATCTTGCCATCACCACAGATGTCCCTATTTAATAGCACCCTTTCATCTGATTTCTCAGATAATTGATATTTGCAGACAAAATATACAGTTAATTAATTAAATAACTATTACATTATTAACACAGGCCTGCAGGTTTCTGGCAAACTGCTTCAAGCAACAGGAGGTGTAGAAAGGAATGTACAGGTAGTCTCGACTTACAATCACAACTAGCCCCAAATTTATGTTGCTCAATGAGACAGTTGTTAAGTGAGTTTTGCCCTGTTGTGTAACCTTTCTCGGCGTGGTAGTTAAGTGAATCACTAGCAGTTGTTAAGTTAATGATATGAATACGGCTTCCTCATTTACATTGCTTGTCAGAAGGTGGCAATATTACATGGCACCCAGGACACTGCAACGGTCATACGTACGAGTCAGTTGCCAAGCATCTGGATTTTGATCATGTGACCATGGGGATGTTGCAATCAGTGCCTCTGTAACTTCAAACAGTCACTAAGCGAACTGTTGTTAACTCAAGGAGTACCTGTACATCCTAACAATGCAGTAAGATGACTCAGTATGTTGGCCTTAGCAAAGTAGGAGGCCATTTTGAGTTCTGGAGACCCATGAAAATTTTTCTCCAGGAGGACACTTACTTTCTCCATTTGAAGAAGGTAGTAATCAATGAAGTCTTGTGGGTCGTGCAGTGATTGAAGTTCCCTGTGCTTCTCTACCTCTTCCTTGGCAAACGAGGTGACATCGTTTAAAGCACGGAACACTCTCTGATGACGTCCTGGAAGGTATTTCATCAACCATGGAAACAACTCATACAGCTAAAAGAAAGATGAAAAACAAAATCCTAGGACATGGATGCCATCAGCCAATTACTTGAGTTTAGCGCTTTGATCATATTGTCTGAAGGATTCGTAATTCTTCAGGCTATGCAGTTTTGTATATATTTGGTAAACAGCTTCTGGATGCCAGCAGGATGCTCTTTAGATCGAATGATAGCCGCGCTCCAAGATCCAAAGGGCTGCCGCACAAAAGACAAGGTGGGGTCAACCTATTTTCCAAAGCACCTGAAGGCAGGACAAGAAGCAATGGATGGAAGCTAATCAAAGAGAGAAGCAACCTGGAATTAAGGAGAAATTCCCTAACAGTGAGGACAATTAACCAGTGGAACAACTTGCCTCCAGAAATTGTGAATGCTCCAGCACTGGAAGTTTATAAGAAGAGATTGGACACTCATATTTTGAATCCACATTAGAGAGCTGTAACTTTCACTTTACAGGATTGTATTCAAAGACCAAACGATCAACTTGAATGATTATATGATAGATGGGTAGGCTATGGTCTCACCCCCCCCCCCAAAAAAAAACAAGGCATGATCTTTCTAGAAATATTTTGCTGATTCATCTTTTTTTTTCTCATTCTGGTAAGTTCTTGAAAAACAGAATAACAGATTTGGAAGGGACCTTGGAGGTCTTCTAGTCCAACCCCCTGCTCAAGCAGGAGGCTTATACCACTTCAAATGGTTTTCCAATCTCTTCTTTAAAAACTCCAGTGATGGAGCACCCACAATTTCTACAGAATGGGACAAACTCACCACAGCCAGCTCACCATGGCCAACTTGCATTGGGACAACTCCAGCTCGCCGGAGGACAATTTAATAATTCAGTTTCGTTATTTAAAATAAATAAATAAATATTTTCATTTTTGTCAATCGCATTTCATTCTGTCCCTCTTTTTTCACCCTTTCTTTAATGATTCTAGTCCACCACTTCTTTGATACTAGTGTAACTCTTGTCCCGCAGCAAGTTATCTCATGGTGAGTTGGCCGTGACAAGTTAGCCACAGCAAGCTGAATGTCAACTCATAAAATATTTCTATGTTTTTTTTAGAGTTGCCAACAGAAAGGGGAGGGAGAAAGGGGTTTGAAAGAGCAGTGCGGCAGCTTGGAAATCGAAAGTGCATTCCATAAATAGTTTTTCAAAGATAGGTGGCTGAAGTTTCTGCCACACAAATATCTAACTGGAGAACATGATTGATGACTCTTGGCTACGGATGTGTCCCATTGGAGAATATGAATTATGATACACCCAGGGGGTGGAAGAAAACCAGGGTCAAGGGTGACAATGAATTATGTGTCTCAGAGTCGGCTGCATCCAGGCAGTGCCGAATATGTTAACTCCCAATAAATCCTTTTGAAGTTTTGGAAGTTTGGCTCGAGACTCATGATTTAATTGGGGGTAATTGCCAGAATCCAGACAGCAGCTATGGCAAGCTGACCATGGCAAATTGTCATAGACCGCAATTTTCAAAGACAAGCCATTGCACTGATTAATTGTGCTAACTGCCCGAAAACTGATGGTATCACGGAGGTATTCACGGAGGGCTCAGCGAGTCCTTAAAATAATTCTCTTCCTGATACAGTAGTACCCCTGGTGACGACTATAATTCGTTCCATAACTTTGGTCGCAACCCAATTTGGTCGTGACCCGAACCTAATTTTGAAAATTTGACGCTTACAAAAAAAATGGCATGGAAGGGAAAATCAGCCTCTGGGGGGAAAAAATTGTGAATTTTTTGGTCAGAACCCGATTTGGTCATGGTCAGAAGCGTTTGTGACCACAGGTTCTACTGTACTGTGGAGTTTCCGTTCACTGCTAAAACTCTTTTTAAAATTCTTTGCTTACATTGATGAATGAATCTCTCAGGGGTGGAATTCTACTGGTTCAGACCGGTTCTATGGAGCTGGTTGTTACGATTCTGTGCAGTTCAGAGAACTGGCAAATCATGCCCCTGGCTGGCCCCGCCCCTCTCTGCCCCTCCCTGCCCAGTCAGTCCTTATGGTATTTCTCTTTTTTTTCCTCCTGACGATCAGCTGTTCTGACGATCAGCTGTGCCGGGATCCCCCTCGCTGTCTTACTGCTTCACCCAGGAGGGTTCCCTGAGGCCCAGGAGGCCAAAAAATGGAGCACGAGGGGAAGGTTTGCTGCAAAAAAAAAGAAAAAAAGAAACCATGCCCTCCCAGTCACATGGCCATTCCCCCTAGCCTCTCCCACCTAGCCACACCCACAGAACCAGTAGTAAAAAATATTTGCATTCCACTCCTGGAATCTCTATATTCAAAATTATCAGCAAGATGGTGGAGGATGCAGTCAGGGTCTCTAGAAGTCTTGTCCGACTCAGTAACCCAAAAGAAGACAACTCACCAGGTAAACAAAGCTGCCTCCAAATTTCATATAGTAATTCAAGTTTATTAACATTCTCTGGAATTTTTCATCTTTGGCAGAAAATCTATATCCAAAAACCACAATGCATATCAAATTGGAGATTGCAGTGGTGACAGGCAACGAAGGATCTAGTGGCTGTTCTGGAAATTTAAAAGAAAATCACCATCAGATTGCTATTATTGTACTTTAACTATTTATATACATATTTAATGGGATTTCAGGACAAAAGGCGGGAGATACAGGTAGTAGTTGTACACCACTGTACACAATGGTGATCAGAATTCCCGTTGCTAAGCAAGGCAGTTGTTAAGTGACTCGCACCCGGTTTTGACACAGTTGTTAAGGCAATCACTACAGTTGTGAAGTGAGCCATGCAGTCATTAAGTGAATCCAGCTTTCTCCATTGACTTCGCTTGTAAGAAGCCAGCTGAGAAGGTCACAATTGAAGATCACATGACCCTGGGACACTGCAACCATCATAAAGACATACCGATTTCCAACCATCCCAAGATTGATCACATGGCCACAGGAAGGTTGTGACAGTTGTAAGTGTGAGGACTGATTGTAAGTCACTTTTTTCAGTACCAGTATAACTTTGAATACTTGCTAAACCAATGGTTGTAAGTCGAGGAACCTATAGTTGGGAATCCATCAAGCAACATTTATTTTTAACCATTTGGCTAGTAGTAGGCCCTGCAGAAGATTCTCACCAAAAGGGTAGAAGACACGGGCAGTTTCTTCTGGGACAGAAACTCTTGGGCGTTAGGCTATCAAAACAGGAACTGATACAGTGAAATTGTTGACTCCATCTTGCTCTGGTAGAATAAGAGATTCTCCTGTTATAGGCCTTGCATTCAGTTGGGACACAGTTCATGTGGTCAGTAGAAACATGGAAAGAATCAACCTTGATATAAAATCTCAATATTAAACAATGTTGAGACTCTGGAAATAATGCAAAGAGGAGCAACAAAGAAAGATGATTAGGGGATTGGAGGCTAAACCATATAAATAATGGTTGCTGGAATTGGTTATGTCTAGTCTAATGAAAAGAAGGATGAGGGGTGACATGATAGCAGTGTTTCAAACTCTAAGGCGCTGCCATAAAGAACAGGGCCTAACATTAACAGATTAACAGAGTTGAAAGGGACCTTGTAAGTCATCTAGTCCAACCCCCGCCCAAGCAGGAGACCCTACACCATTTTTGACAGATGGCAGTCCAGTCTCTTCTTGAAAGATTCCAGTGACGAAGCTCCCACAACTTCTGAAGGCAACTTCTGTTCCATGGGTTGATTGTTCTCCCTGTCAGAAAGTTTCTCCTTATTTCTAACTGAAATCTCTCCTTGATCACTTTCCATCCATTATTCCTTGTCTGGCCTTCGGGTGCCTTGGAAAATTGATTGATCTCTTCCTCTCTATGTGGCAGCCCCTCAAATATTGTAACACTGCTGTCATGATTCCTCTGGTCCTTCTCTTCACTAGACTAGCCATGCCGATTATTTGCAACCGTTCGTTGTGCGGGATCAACCTACTCTCCAAGGCACCTGAAGGCAGGACATGAAGCAATGGATGGAAACTAATCAAGGAGAGAACTAACCTACAACTAAGGAGAAGTTTCCTGACAGCGAGAACAATTAATCAGTGGAACAGCTTCCCTTCAAAAGTTGTGGGTGCTTCAAAACTGGAGGCTTTTAAGAAGAGACTGGACAGCCACTTGTCTGGAGTGGATAGGTTCTCCTACTTGAGCAGGGGACTTGGACTAGAAGGCCTCTAAGGTCCCTTCCAATGCTGTAATTCTGAATTAATGAAACACTAGATATATCATTCCAAGACATATAGAGATTGTAGACAACATACCTTTTGCACGCGCAAAGATTTTAACCAACCGATGAGCTTCCTCTTCTATTTGATTCTCCATGCCTTTCTTCCCGAGGCCAAGTTTTCGCATAGTATTTAGACCAAACCGTCTTTGTTGCTTCCAGTTTTGACCGTTTGAAAATATAATACCTGAAGCCATCAGAAATCATTGAGGAATTAGGCTCATAAAAATTATCACTAAAACATCATTAGGTAGTTTAGATCAGGGGTCCCGCAACCTTGGCAACTTCAAGACTTGTGAACTTCAACTCCCAGAATTCCCCTGGCTTAGATGATGTGTGTTCTCATGCAAATTCTACTTGGCCATCTTGGAGATCCCGTTTTTCCAGCAAAAAACAAAAAACAAAAACAGGACCAGTGATGCCAAATCAGCTTCTGCCTGTTCCAATGGTACAAATAAGACTGGATCTGTTCCAAAGATCTCATGCCTTCTATTGAATATCACGCATTATATTGAACAAAACAGAGGAGAGAATAGAACTCTCTATTTTACCAGAAAAATTACCCCTTAACCTTCATGAAAACCTACCTTTGTTTTTAAAGGCCTCTTTAAAAAAAGGAGTCATTTGTCGCTCAGCGAAGTCTTCCGTCTGAATGAGGGCTTCTTTGACAGCCTGATATCCAGAGAAGACCACGATAGCCATGTGTCCTGACCATATTGTGTAGATGTTTCCATATCGCTTAGCCAGCTGTCGTTGTGATCAAAAGAGAAAATGAAAATATGATATTCAGTCCTGGTTGCTGATTGCAAATTATGATATGGATGAAGTCTTTTCCAGAGCTGCAGAATCTGATCAGAGGTGTTCAAAATGCCTACATAGCAGGGGGCCAAGGTCACCTGCGGAACTGTGTTTTCTCCATTACATCAGCCTGACCCAGGGGTGGAATTCAAAAATCCCAGCAACTGGTTAGTGGCCATGGTGGGCGTGGCCTACCAGAACATCCTGTTTCCGGCTTCCAGTGGGCCTCCAGAGCCCAGGGGAGGAAGTTTTTCCCCGGACCTCTGGGATGGCAAAAAAACCCTCTCCCGGGCTCTGGAGGCCCACCGGAAGCCGGAAACAGGCCCATTTCCGGACTTCCGGAAGACCCATTTTTCCCACTCCCAGAGCCTCCGTGCAGACCCTGCACTTATTTCCATTGAAAATGGGCCACGTGGAGACTCCTGGGTGGGGTAGTGCAGGACGGGCACGGCCAACCGGTCGGTTGAAATACCGGTTCAGCAAACCGGATGTAACTTTAACATTCGGTTCACCCGAACCAGTTTGAAGCAGTAGAATCCCAACCCTGGCCTGACCTACCTGGTGTGAGGGGTAGCTACGTTGTAGACCTCGTCAGTTAAAGAATTCTGACTGATGGGGTCCAGGAAGTGGGTCTAGGATGTTTAGGCACAGACCTTTAGCCCTGCTTCCGTCCCCTGCCTCCTGCCTCAGCCTATTTTGAGGGTGGGAGTTGGTGGTTGTTGTTTTTTTAACTTTTTTAATTTTTTCCAAATTTTGTTCTATTGTTCTTTACTAATTTATTTGATTCCTTTTGTTAGTTTTTATTGTTTTTTATTTTTATTTTTTGTTTTAAATATGGTTTTACATCGTGCAAGCCGCCTCGAGTCGCCATGGGCGAAGAGGCAGCAATATAAATTAAATAAATAAATAAATTTACAGCCAGCTTTCCTCCTCTGCTGGCCCTCCCCCACCCATTCTGCATGGTCCTTCATCCATGCCCATTCATCCAGACACCATTTGACCCCAGCCTTTGGACAAATAGCCTCCAGCCAATCTGCTATTGAACAGTCACTAAATGAATGGTAGTAATCGAGGCTACCTATAATGGCATCCTATTTTTTCCTAATGCCTAAATATTTACTTGCAGTAAATAGCACCAGATAAACCATCAGGGAAGAAACAATGCTCTAATCAAGAAATTGTTAAAGTAGAAATCAAAACAGGCAGGACGAGCTGCCATAGATAAACAACCAGCAAATTACACCTTCCCTACACTGTTGATGTTCCTAGCCTGATGATGCCACCTGATTGCAATCTGAAATATTTTGCCAATAGGTTGAATAATTATCACTGCATATGTTAAAGCAAACAAGGATTTTACAGTCCTTTTGTTGAAAAAGACCTCTGGTTCCCTTTTTAGAAAATTAGCCAACCAAATTGAAGGTGTATGCCCCAATGTCTACAATAACTTGATGGAAACTAACCAAGGAGAGAAGCAACCTACAACTGATGAGAAATTTCCTGACAGTTAGAACAATTAATCAATGAAACAACTTGCCTCCAGAAGTTGTAGATATTGCAACAATGGAAGTTATTAAGAGGAGATTGGACAATTGTTTGTCTGAAATGGTATAGCTTTCTTACTTGAGCAGGGGATTGGATTGGAAGACCTCCAAGGTGTTTTCCAACTCTGTCATTCTATTAACTCTAACTTTGAATTTAAAAAGTAAATCCTACTAAGAATTTAAGTTTGGATGAAAACCTTCATACTATGAAGCATGGAATTGTGTCATACCCCAAATTTGCTTTTAAAGCTTATATTTTAACACTGTGTAATTAATAGAATTGGTAGAATACATTGTTTACTATTTCTGGTTTTAATCATTTGAATAATGTTAACCAAATATATTTTTGTTTAAAATTCAACAGGGATACTGCGTTTTGACTAGCAAAAGGATGTAAAAATGTAATAAACTTCTGATAAGGAATCTGGATATATTAGTATCATGAAAGTTCAAATTTGCTATTTATCCACTTCTATTTTGTACTCTCTGCTTGATTTTTATCTACTTATTTCTTGTACATAATAAAGGACTAAAGAAAACTAAAAGTCAGTTCTTTCAGAAAGAATCTTTGCACAACTTAAAGATAATGCAAAATTTATTTTTGTAATTTCTGAGAGAAATACTGGAATAGTGAGGGCCAAATTAAGTCACAGAAAACCAAAACACCTTGGGGTGTTTTATAATCTTTTAAAATTTGAATGCAACCTCATATAATGCTGTTCTGGTTTTGGTTAAAGGATTAGTAAACAGTATTAGTAGCACAACCTTGAATAGTGCTATCTGCTATCTTGCCTTTAATATTTTAATAGTATTTCATTCATACATTGAGGAATGATGTATTATTAATCTGACTATTATTCTTCAGAACTTATATGGACACCAATCTTAATCAAATAACTCTGCCTAGCTAACAAACAGAAAAACAGAAAACCAATGTGTGAAATTATTTTAAACTGTAGCAGGAAATCTTGCTTCCAAATCAGGACACAAGACCACGAAAGGTTGGAGAATACAGGTTTTATTTGTGCACAAGGTTCAGAGCATTAGAATGGCAAATTCTGAACCCCTGGCTCTTCCTGAGGCATCACTTTTATACATTTTGTGACCTCAGCTTAGCCCGGGGCATTTCTCTCATTAAACTATACCAAAAAAGGAGAAATACATTTAATTATTCATTTTATCTTACACCATCTGTTATTTTCCATATCCACCCTTGCTTACTGGAACATTGCTAGTTCCTTGGTTCAGTAAGTTTGTGGGTTTTGCACAATATTGTATTAAGCAAAGCTTTGGAGAATTGGGGGACTTCTGCTAAATATAAAAGTGATTTATGTGTAATTTTTCTACTGCTACAAAACTACAAAATCATAATGGCAGGACAACATTGAAATTTACACGTTTACACACCACTTACTTCCATTTGAATATACATGTTAATCATAGCAAAATATACTGCCAGTCTTTTTGTTGTTCTATTAAAAAATGACTTATTATTGCTAAACAGGTAGAGCACTGGTGGGATTCAAATAATTTAACAAATGGTTCTCTGCCCTAATGATTTCTTCCAAAAACCAGATCATCAAACTGCTCAGAAAGTAAACAACCAATTCTCCCAAACTGGTGCGAACTGGCTGAATCCCACCACTGAGATAGAGTAGCAAAAGAGTCATTATGTACAGGTGGGAAGATAATTATGATTAAATCATGATTAAAGGATACAGAGCTATTTTATCACATTGGCTCAGTATCTGGACAATGAAACAGGAGGCATTTCTGCTGAGCCAATTTCCATCACTACCTTCCAGAAAACTCTATTGACCTGACAGGAAAATAATATTCTCTTTGCTAAATCATGATTTAAATCACAGATTTGGAGAGAAAGTACCTTGATTAAAAGTGTCGGAGTTACTCGAATTCCGGTCTGCCATGCGACTCCAATGAAAGGAAGTGGAAAGGGCCCAGGTGGATAATTTCTACGGGACCACAGTTGTTTCAGGAAATACAACACGATCCCAGTCAGGAACAAAGCAAACAACCATTTTCCAACTTCCTCCATTTTTTAAAAATCCGCTCTTGGTCTACCTCAAGCTGACTAAGCTGGATCTCCTTTCCACAGTAGATTTTGTCTTCCTGAGAGAGGAGGAGTCTGTTTTTCAGCCTTTTATATGCTCTATGTTAAAAATGTAAACAACCCTTCTTACACCATATTCAATTATGATAGGAATGGCTTGCCTCCAAACCTGTTATAGTAGAATATGATCAACAACGAGCATGCTTGCATGATCTTTATTTGCATAATTGAAGGGAAGAGAATTTGGCAACATGATTCTTCATGCCAGGTACAGTTAGGGGACTGATGTCATACTACTTTACCCAGCCCAGAACAGTCATGTCATCTGATCAGCAAATGGACTAAAATGGCAGCTAGGTGCCCAATCCCTCTTGGTTAAAGACAGAAGTGGTATTCAGCAGGTTTTGACCAGTTCTGGAGAACCGGTAGCAGAAATTTTGAGTAGTTCAGAGAACCGGCAAATGCCACCTCTTACTGGAAATTTTGCAGTACCCTTCCCCTGCCATGCCCACCAAGCCACATCCACAGAACCAGTAGTAAAAAAAAATTGAATCCCACCACTGATTAAAAACCACTGTGTGAGCAGTGGATTTGTGATCTTCAAGTATGAAAGAACTGGATGAATGGAGAACCATCAACCTCACTAGGGAGATGTCAAGCATTCGGGAAATCAGGAGATTCAGGCAATTCAAATGAGTATAAAGATTTATTGCAAGCTGAAGTTCTCTATAAGAATCTGAGCTATTAATGGTCAAAGGAAATTAGCAGGAATTAAGAAAGGAATTCATGGTGGACTAGTCTTAGATCTCTTGTGGGCATGCAGGGACTCATGACTGAGGACGCATATGACCCCCTCCCTTGGGCTCAGCCTGGTCATCTCCTACATCAGACCAGACCAGGAAATCAACTCCAGAAGATGGTTGAAACTACTTTTATTGAGACTGGCTATTATAACCGAGTGGGGCACAGTGGCCTAGCAGTTTAGATCAGTGGCCGCCAACCGGTGGGCCTGGTGGTCTGTGAGAAAATTTTGGTGATCCACAGACCCCCAAAGCACTCCCCCCAAAGCAATTAATCCAGGCTATGCTGGAACACAAGGCTGCGCCTGCCCACCCACTGCCCCCACCCTTTGGCCGAGTAGAGCCACGCTAGCTGGAACTGGAAGATAAGACCAATGGCGGGGGGAGGGAAATCCGCCCCGGGGTGACTTGCTGATGTTGGTGGGAAAGTCAGTCCCATATTCCAGAGCTGCAGTAATCACAAGACTGGCCCTTTGGTCATCCCAGAGCAGCTGCTCATCCAGTCCATGGCAGGCGAGTGCACCCAAGTGGAGGAGCAACTACTCCAGGGTGACCAAAGGGCCAGTCCTGTGACTACTGCAGCTCTGGAATATGGAACTGACGTTTCCACCGACGTCAGCAAGCCACCGTCAGTCAAAATTCATATTAGTGGTCCGCGGGATTTAAAATTACGAGTTTGGTGGTCCCTGAGGTCTGAAAGCTTGGTGACCCCGGTTTAGATGATGGGTTTGTCAACCCAAAGATTGACAGTTTGAGACCCAAGCACCACATGACCGGGTGAGTTCCCATTCTTGTACCAGTTCCTGGCAACCTAGCAGTTCGAAAGCATGCAAATGCAAGTAAATAAATAGGTACCATTTTAATGGAAAAGTTGCAGCATTCTGTGCACCTCAGGTGTATAGTCATACTGGCCACATGACTATGGAAGCATCTTAATAGATAACAGATAATCAGAGTTAGAAGGTACCTTGTAGGTCATCTAGTCCAATCCCCTGCCCAAGCGGGAGACCCTACACCATTTCTGACAAATGGCAGGCCAATCTCTTCTTGAAAGTCTCAAGTGAGGGCGCTCCCACAAATTCCGAGGGCAACTTCTGTTCCATTGGGTTGATTGTTCTCACTGTCAGAAAGTTTCTCCTTATTTCCAGGTTAAATCTCTCCTTGTTCAGTTTCCATCCATTATTCCTTGTCTGGCCTACAGGCACTTTAGAAAATAGCTTGACCCCTTCCTCTCTCTGGCAGCCCCTCAAATATTGGAAGACTGCTATCATGTCTCCCCTGGTCCTTCTCTTTACTAGACTAGCCAAGCCCAGTTCCTATAACCATTCTTCATATGTTTTAGTCTCCAGTCCCCTCATCATCCTGGTTGCTCTTCTCTGCACTCTTTCTAGAGTCTCAACATCTTTTTTGTAATGTGGTGAACAGAACTGGATGCAGTACTCTAGGTATGGTCTTACTAAGGCTTTATAGAATGTTATTAGTACCTCCCTTGACCTTGATTGTATCCCTCTGTTAATACAACTTCCCTCTGCTAATACAATCTTCAGATAACTCTGGCTCCCTCAGCTAGGAAACAAACCCATGTTGGCTTTTGGTTATTGCTTTGTTTGCTTGTAAATGTTCACTGATTTGTTGCTTGATTATCTTTTCCAGAATCTTCCCTGGTATTGAGGTCAGGCTGATAGATCTGTAGTTTCCTGGATCTATTTTTTTTCCTTAATTATAAATGGGTTGCCCTCTCAGTGTTGGTGGGAATGAGTTTTTTTTTCTTGGTAGTTGTTGTTGTTTACTATTTAGTTGTCTGAGTTTGTAGTTCCTTGATTGGGTATTATTTACTGCTTAATTGTCAGTCTGATATTAATCCTAGTGTTGATTCCTGCTTATCCTGGTGTTTCTTTTTCTTTATTTGTTTCCTCTTAATTTATTTATTTTTTTACTTCTGTTTATTGTCTCTGCTTAATTTCTCCTTTTTACTTATTTTCTTTCTGTAGAGATATTCTGGGCTGGTTGGCTGCACTGCTGCCTCTGGATTGGTTGATGGAGTTAATGTTGGTATAATGGGCTGTATGATGGCCTTGTGAGTTTTGTTGTGGAGATATCCTGGATCTTGTGCTGTAATCTCCTGGGTCGTTTGTTTTGTAATGATCTTTTTTCCATTAGCCTCTCATGTTTTTTAATAGCTTGGGTAATGGGTTGTGTGATGAGCTTGTGAGTTCTTTTGTTGTGG